TTTCCGAAGTGCGTAATATAAAACCGCGCCAAATGATATCCTTTAGCCTCGGTTCTTTTTTTTTGTATACCATCAAAATATCAAGTTTTGACAGCCCTACAAACTAATCCAGTTAACTTTGGCTCACTTTTTTTCTTATTTATGTATTGCGTGAACGAGATTAAAGGATGTCCGTCCAGGTCAAAGTTTTACTTACTTACATAAAATCCCTTCAACAAAAGTATTACGGAAACACGATGTGTTTTTGGTCCTTTTTTTTCATAATCATAATTTCCGAACATATTTTTCTTGGTCCTGTCAATGAAATTTGACTGGACCTCATTTCGCGATGAGATAGGAAGGACCCTTCTTCATGCGTGACAACGTACCTAACTTGAGATTAAATTTGTTTTTCATTATTTGCTGGTGGTTGTTAAAGACACGCTATTTTCTGCTGGGTTATGAGTCCCTGGTACATATAAACTGACTGAACATTATCTGTGAGAAGTATTTTTTTAAATTCTGCAATCGGGCTAAACCTGTACTAGTTGCAAAGATGAACTTGGAAACTTATTCCTTACACACATACAGTATTGAATAAGAAGATAGATCTTCCTAAGAAAATAGATACGAGTCCAATTTCATTCGATGAGTAGGAAAAATCTTGCCTGTTTCCCATAAATCATGGGAAGTCACGTAACTTGAAAGATGCAGTGAACCCCATTATATCAGCCGACCCCTCAGTTGCCACTCTATGGAGCGTTAATATCAGGAGTCAGTTGTGAACCATACACTTAATTGGGTTGCATAACTTGTTATCAATCAATTTAGGCCTTCAGATAGAACATTATTGAAAAAATTATTTACAAGTAAGCAAAAGAAAGCACATTGCTGGAGTTGCCTATAGGCGTTGAACACATCAGGCCCGCCGTAAGCGCGCGTGCAAAGCGTGCACAGCACACGGGCGCACGATCATGGGAGCGGCAAATCGAGCGACTCATTACCTAATATTCAAAATCATTGTCCAGAATAAGCAGAAAGCATAAGAAATATCATCGCCGGGAAAAAACCTCACTCGACGCAATAGTCCTTGAAATCTTTCGAGCGTCCTTGAAAATTTTCGAGCGTCCTCGATCAGTTTCGAGCGTCCTCGAAACCTATCGAGCGTCCTCGAAAACTATCGAGCGTTCTCGATCACTTTCGAGCATCCTCGATCACTTTCGAGCATCCTCGATTACTTTCGAGCGTCCTCGAAAACATTTGAGCGTGCTCGAAAACGATCGAGCGTCCTCGATCACTTTCGAGCGTCCTCGAAAACTATCGAGCGTTCTCGATCACTTTCGAGCATCCTCGATCACTTTCGAGCATCCTCGATTACTTTCGAGCGTCCTCGAAAACATTTGAGCGTGCTCGAAAACGATCGAGCGTCCTTGATCACTTTCGAGCGTCCTCGATCAGTTTCGAGCGTCCTCGAAACCTATCGAGCGTCCTCGAAAACTATCGAGCGTTCTCGATCACTTTCGAGCATCCTCGATCATTTTCGAGCGTCCTCGAAAGCTTTCGGGCGTTCTCGATCACTTTCGAGCATCCTCGATCACTTTCGAGCGTCCGCGATTACTTTCGAGCGTCCTCGAAAACATTTGAGCGTGCTCGAAAACGATTGAGCGTCCTCGATTACTTTCGAGCGTCCTCGAAAACATTTGAGCGTGCTCGAAAACGATCGAGCGTCCTCGATCAGTTTCGAGCGTCCTCGAAAACTATCGAGCGTTCTCGAAAGCTATCGAGCGTCCTCGATCATTTTCGAGCGTCCTCGAAAACTATCGAGCTTCCTCGAAAACTATCGAGCGTTCTCGATCACTTTCGAGCGTCCTCGAAACCTATCGAGCTTCCTCGAAAACTATCGAGTGTTCTCGATCACTTTCGAGCATCCTCGATCATTTTCGAGCGTCCTCGATCATTTTCGAGCGTCCTCGAAAACTATCGAGTGTTCTCGATCACTTTCGAGCATCCTCGATCATTTTCGAGCGTCCTCGATGATTTTCGAGCTTCCTCGAAAACTATCGAGCGTTCTCGATCACTTTCGAGCATCCTCGATCACTTTCGAGCGTTCTCGATCACTTTCGAGCGTCCTCGAAAACTATCGAGCGCCCACGATCACTTTCAAGCGGCCTCGATCACTTTCGAGCGTGCTTGAAATCTATCGAGCGTCCACGAAAACTATCAGGCCTCAAAGAGTCATTACTTCATCAGACACCACAGACGGACTCACTAGGATTGTTGCCTTGCTGGAGGGTAGGCAGTCATTATTGGTACTGGGGCTTGCTGGCTTTGACCAAGTGTTAGAGGGAATGGTGTGGTTTTTAGTTAGTAGGAGTTGTAGGAGTCATTTCGACAAGAATAATTTGAGGACTTTTTATCCAAACTACAAAAAGGGGGGCGGCATAATCGGTATTTGCACGCGGGCTATTCGAATGCTAGCGGCGGCAACAGTTTAAGAAAATGGGCTGTTATTAAAGTAAAACAAAATAGTTACAGTTAGGTAAGTTCTAAAAAAATTAATGTAAGTATCAAAGAATCATTCTTCCTCTTAGTACCTAGCATCTAACAAAGTCGATACTTCAAACGTCGTAGCCCAAAAAGATTAATTATTCTATAGGGTCTAATACAAAATGTACAATTTCATTGACAAAATAGAATGACAAAGAGCGAAAATTAAATTTGTGAGCTCTTTGCCTTAATTAATGGACAACCGGGGCTTTAAAGCTTAGCCTATGAATAGATATAGTGCTACTGATAAATCTCGCCAGTGCACGCTTAGGGGCGAGGAGAATAATAATTGAATCCAGATTAGAAGGTGGAAGAAAAATTAGGTTAATTTAAAACAAACAATGGAAAAACGATTTAAACAGGCAAATAATTTTAATTTCGGAAAGCCATGCTGCCTGATGCTGCCATTTTAAGTGATTAGACTAGAAGATCTGCCGGTTTGTTTATTTTTTTAAACTTTTTTTTAGTGTTAAGTAGACTTATCAGCTTATTTAAAAATTATCGACTAGTTTAGAAAAGAAAAACGTAATACTAACAATCATCTCCTGCCTAACACTATTACAAGATATAGCAAGTACATACCCATAGGTAGATTAGGTTATCATCTACGTACCTAAATATATTATGTATCTAGATTTATACACTTACCTACTTAGGTATAAATTCTGAAACATGCTCTGTGGCTGACGCCAATATAGAGATATAAGTAGTTGAGGTAGTCGCATTATTAGATTATAAACCAGGTAAGGCTTCACAGTCATACGTCTTTCAAGTTCACACTACTCAGAAAATGTTATTTTTGCCTACAGAAGTAGTCTGATGAATACCTTGCTAATAGGTTTACAAAAGTCGACAAAAAATACAACTGAATCTTCCCTATCTGATATACAATATCTTAAAATAGTTTTTCTGCCAAATCTGAAAACGTATTTAATGATTGCTTCAGTAGGTGAATATTTGGAAGTAGATACCTAAATATAGAAACTATCAACCAGCTTCATTAATTTTGGAACCAACACAGTACCTACCAGTCTCAACTTGCTGACCGCCCTCAATGACCTTCGACGGTCTTCATATTTGTTTATAAGTTTCTTTATAGCGCTGGCTGCAGTGATTTTTCTTGTTTGTTCTTTCCTTAATATTGAGGTCATTGCAGGATCTCCCCTGATAAGTCACTCACTCAGTCAAAATTCGACTGAATTACGGGTAGGTAATAATCACTTCCGAAACCAAAATAAAACGACACATGCTCAAAACAAATCAGCTAATCAAAAAGGTTTTCGTAAATATAAATTTAGAACATCTAATTTTAGGTTCCCAGCGTCCCGTCAGTAGTAGGTAATCTGCACCACCATATTATAAGTAAATCCTCTTTAATAAGAGAGAGCGCTTCATATATACGTACATACATGCGAGCTTGTGAATTTCAATGTGTAATTCACTTAGCGTCGAGGTTCCACGCTACTCAGTTCACTTACTTACACTACTTACTTACTTTTCCACATAACCTACTAAGTACTACTTAGATGCCTAATTCATGCTGATTTTTTTATGGGATAACCCGGTAAACGAGCAGAAGGATCAGCTGATGGTAAGCAATCGGTGTCGCCCATTGACACCTAAACAGCAAAGGCGTTACAAGTGCGTTACCAACCTTTTGGGAATTGGGAATTTGAGGATTGTAGGAGATTCGGGGTTTGGGGAGACGGGGGAGCCTCATATTTTTTTGCACAACTTCTTGTAATAAAACGTTCAAATTTTTTTGTATCAGTATTAATAATTACTCATGGTTTCAATAAGTATAAAAAGCCTGATAATTTTACTCAAAATTGAAATAATATCCCCAAAAAAATCATATCATTATGTCAATTAAGTTTCACGGGCTACTTAATTACGTTACTACCTGCATGTAGTTAATTAGGTATTCAATTATTTTACGTCCTACTAAGTGGTTATTTTTATTTTTTAAGACTCTGTAGTTACCTACTTATTTCCTTTTGTTCTTTAGCCTAGTTACTTTTAATTTAAACTCTGTTTCTAATTCAACTGTCATTTTGTAAGTTTGAAGATCGTTGTTAGGTGTGTTAGCGTGGCTAACAACAAATAAACTTAAGAAATATTCATCAATCATCAGCTGATTTTACAATATAATGAATGCTCAATCATAATTTATTACGACGTCGATGGCTCAATCGGTTTGTAGTTAGTTCCAGATTCCGGACAGTGTGCCCAGTATACTCAAACTTGAGCGTTCTATTTGGCCCCATACTTAGAAAATTAAATAAACGTAAAATAAATACAAGTGACCACATAAAAAACAATTTAATATTTTACTTATTTCATTGCTGTTTTAATATATACGTATTATTAACTCTACTTAAAATTAAATTAATAACGATTAAACTTTTTTAATACTAGCAACACAATAATCGACTAAAACTATATTTACCTCAACGTCACGGCGTCACATCACTGGTTTTATTATATGAAGTCGTTTTTTCTCTTCTCTTGTCTTGTCGGCAATCAGTGGAAGCGTAGTATTAGAATTTTTGATAAATATTAAATTGACTGATATTTAGCGATAATCAAGATGAAGAAAGTAATATTTGTATGTTTGTTATCACTGTCCGTGTGTCTCAGCGCACCTAACCAGCCACAGGGTAAGTAGAACTAATTTTAATTTGAGAAATACTTAGTGTTTCATAAGAATTTTCTCACGTTAAGATGCGTAGTTCTGATTGTTGAAAAATGTATTATGAGGAATGGTGTATGTTAGCCAGAATATTGCGGCAAACGGTTTTTATCGATTTTTCCATGTTGTTGAAATATCCACGTAGTTTGTCAAGGTCAAGGAAGTATTTGCTGTTTTCCTATAAACCAGTTGCTTGCTGAGATTTTTTATGACGCGGCAATGTTACTGTATTGCAGCACATTATAATTTATTTAATGTAAAACCTACGCAGGGAGGACTAACCGCATCGATAGCATTTAAAAAAGCACTAATTATAGATACCTACTTGTTCTTATGTGAAATCCAGTAAAACAAGCTTAGGAATGAAGATTGCACAATTATTTGTTAATGTATTAACTATTAACCAATAAAGTTATCAGTAGATGTGTAATAATGTTTAACTTGCAGATCTTTTACTCACTAGTGTTGTTGTTAAATCAATAAGTATTCTTAAACATTCTAATTGGACTTGTATAAGAGAACATTTTATTAACATAACATTGTTTTTTATTAAGATACCTCATGAAATCCTTTGTTTTAAATTTAATTTGCATGTGGCATTTATTGATATTTGAGATTTGAGTCACATGGCGACTGGCAAAGATATGCAAATTTCCTCATTTTGTATTATTAGTAGGCTGGTATGAAAATGTTTCACACCTTCCGATAAATACTCTAATTACTGACTAAAGTCATATTTTTAAACCAAACCAACCATTACATGTTGCTGTCATACAAGAAGTCCATTAACATATTTTTTAATTGCACAAAATCACATAAAGAAATACAGACACCTAAAAAACTGCAACAATTTGGCAATGTAGGAAATGAAATTTCAATACAAACTCATGCAATAGCCCTACTTTGATTAAAAAGTGTTATTGTGATAAACATTATTATGAAAACAAACATGTTTTTGTTTACTATATACTTGTAACATTACACAAAACAGTATTGTTGCTTTAGATAACACAGAACAGATGTTTTATTGACATGTGTAGCTGTTATAACCAACCTATCATTATGAAACAGTCATCAACCTTTGGCCACCTTGGGGCCAATTATTCAATAACCATACATTAACATGTATTGGTATGAGAATTTGAATAATAAAGATACTTTTGAAAAACATTCAACATAGGGCAATGATGATCTCCGCATTCATTAGACCTGTATACATACATCAGGTTTCACTCAAATATCTTTTATCTTTCATTGACAAACCACTTATGCAGATGTGTACCTGATGAATAGTGACAATGTTAGGTTTTACAATAGATTGTGCTATTATTGTAAAACCCGCATTATGCTAATGGTTCCTGTATAAACTATTGTTTTTACATTACATTAGAAACAATACTGGTTTGTACTACATTACAGTTAATTGTCTCAATACAATCATTTTTCATGTCCAAGGTTAGAACTTAGTACTGCTATGAATGCAGACTACATAAAGTCAAAGCATTTATTTCCATTGATCCTTGATTAGGCATCTTTTGAAATGTCAAAAATTTATTTGTCTGTCCATCTGTCTGTCAGTGAGCTAGGCGCACTGTCCAAAATGTATATTCAGATGTAGGAAAATGAGTAAAAATATACAGGAACGACAATACAGCACTATACAGAGTCACAAACTACAACACAACATCATATTTCTGAGATAGTAACTCACTAAAACAAGAAAAGCTTTATCCTTGAGTACAATGCCTACATTACAGGGGGAAATCCCTGATTAGTTCTTAAAATAGCTGCTGTTTTGTTTTTACACTGGGGAATTCCCATGAGGACAATTTATCTTTGGTCCTGTTTTTTCTATGGCAACATAGGTGCCATACTGATTTTTATTTTGATTAATTTTTAACAATGTTGTCTAATTGAGTATTTGCCAACTAGCCAAGTCACTACTTTTTTGGAACTGTCAAAAACGACAGTCTTCTATGAATTTTGTTGTTTGTCAACAAAATTCACATCACATACTCTTCACAATTGAAGTCACTTTTTTTAGCGTCAAACAGCATTCTTATTTCTTAAAAAATGGCTGGAACAAGACTAAAACTAAGTTGGTCATAAAATCAATGAATGAAAGTGTGATTATTTTTTAACATCTTATTTTATTGAACAGTCGAAATAATTTATTTTTGAATAAGGCAAGTACCTACCCTATTGTAGATCTAAACCAAGGAAATAAAGCTTTTGTTGTTTCAAAAATGGCGTTAAGGATACTGATTAATTAAAATGAAGTATTTAAAAATGTAATGATATACTGAATTAAAAAAAATATTACTACCAATATTTTTCTTTCACATAATTTGGAATGGTTTACCTTCAACAGCAATCAAAGTATTTTAAATAGTTTTTCTAAATAATAAGTGTTATTCCCGCTCGGTAAAACCATTTCGTCAACACTGATGACGATCGGGAAAAAATGTTTCGTTAATGCAGGTGTTAACCCGGACAGAGCTAAATAAATCTATAACAAATTCTCTTAGCAATATTCATACCACTATAAAAAATTTAAATATAGACTGGCATTTCTATATAATATCTGAGATAAGGTATATTTTGCATACAGAATGGTTGTTGTCTACATAGTTTGACATTTAGAATTCTTTATAATTCTTTTAATCTGATTTTAGACCAAACAGGCTCATATGTAGCTTATGATATAGATAGATTACATGTTATCTATTGCATCTAATATAATTTTTTACAATCTCTGAAATTAAATCTGAAATCTATATTCCAATAGTTGCCATCTGATCAACAATTATGATAAGAAAACATGATCAATATAGATTTTCTTCTAATTTTGGCCGTGATTCTGTTCGTGCGAATTTCGCTGTTACATTTTAGTCGTAGTTAACCAATGCCAACACTCGAAACACACTAGTGTACTGGTATTTTTGTGACTGAATTCTAGGACACTCCATCTAACTGAGTAAGCTGTAAAAATATATCCATAACAAAGGAACAAACAGTATTATTGTCCGCTCACCAGCAACCTATTTACCACGTCAATAACGGTAACACTTGAGCCAATTTGAACCTAATTACGTCTCAAAAAAGACTTTCATTGCCTGACTCACATCCGTGATTTGAATCAATTAATCGAATTATAGTAATGTAATCATATTTATTTGAACATAGTACTAAATATATAGGTGTTCTTGAAAAGCTGTAGGTATGTCTAAACAAAAACTATGGCTTCGGCAAGTTTTTTCCTGCTCAAGGTCACTCAACTCATTTTGTGTATTAGATATTGTTACTATAAATAATAGTGGTACGAGTTATTAAATATGCTAATTTATTGTCATGATTGAGACGAGTGATCGGAAGATAGAATTACTCACATCAACATATTCGCAGCTGCTCATTTTAAGTAGTAAGGTTAATTATAAATTATTTACTACTTACACCTGTTTAAATGAGGGTTTTGTTTATTTTTAGAAACGGCTCCGGCATCGGCACCTCCTTCCGCTGCTCCGGTTGCTACCGGCACAGATGCGAACGCTGCACCGAAACCAGAGCACCCTGTAGCTACGACGAATGGAACCGCGCCTAAGCCGGCCGCAACAGTGCCGGCACAGAATACTCCGGCTACTAACAGTACACAACCCGCTCCAGCGTCAAATGACACGTCTTCAAAGACCACTACCAATGAGACTAAACCGTCTGAGAAGTCTAATACGACAGACGCTAAACCCAATACGGACCCCGCAGTGAAGCCCACTGAGAAAGTACCAGAACCAGCTAAAGACAAAACAGAAAACAAGACAGTAGTCCCTGTTGCTCCCACCAACAACGGTACTAACGCAGACAGCAAGGATGGAAAGAAGAATGAAACTACGACTACACCAAAGGCTGACAATGTTAGCCCCACTGTTGCACCCACAGTCCAGACTAAGACTAGAGCGTAAGTTTTTTTATTTCTTTACACATTATCTAGATTTTTACCTGTTTTTTTTTAGAAAGTAGGTTAATGAAGTATCTATGTACATATTCAGAACTGCGGTTAAGTTCTACGAAAAAAAGTAAATATAGGTAATAACTATGAACCTGATATAAAACTTTTTCATCCAGGAGTGTAGTTAGCTAAAGTTTTATTCACGGTATACCGCGGAAACCTTATTACTGGATCTTTTATTAGCTCTGCGTATTGGACGGCCGAACCTAGCAGTTTCATAATCGTTAATTACGCAGCATAGAGCGCTTATTAGCGTAGCAAGGGAATACCGCGCAGTAGTGTATTTTATCGAGGCAATAGATTATTATTAAATTAATGTATAGAATTGCAATCAGTTGTTGATCTAATAGTAAAATACTAGCATTAGATAGAAAACAGGAAAATCAGACAGTGTTGCGTTTAACTGATCCGTAGCCATTACTAATTCATACAGGTATCGATTATTGCACGCTACCAACCAACTACGTAGGACATTGACGTATTTGAGCTATCTTTAGAGTATAAAAGTGCGGCTATACGTTAGAGAGAGTATTCAATGTCTTCGCTCTGTGAAGTATTTGAATTAGTTATCCGATATGTATGTCCTATGACGAATGTTCTGTTGTGTAAACAACATTACAGTAAAGAGCATTATTCTTTGCTTTTGCAGTATTTATATATTTCTATATGTACTTTTTGGCGAATTATCGAATTTAAATGAATGATAAATGAGTTGGATGCACAGGTAAACACGTAGAGAATAAATCAGTTCCGTGGTAATTGCAATGAACACGTTTTGTGATGATAACAGTTTTTGCACGGATGTGACGCACGTTTTTGCAAGCGTATTACTTTTTGTTGTAAAATGTACTCGTTTGTTTTTAATGTTTTGTTCTCAATTCACGCGTCATTCCGTTAAAATGAGCCTAACTTACTTACTTTTTATTTCGGGTCAGCCACTCATGTTACGCTGATATAAAATTAAGTTATTTAAGTATCGATATTACAGGATAAATAATATAGATAGTGATAAAATAAGCTAAGGTTATCGTAATACGATAGCCATTTACGCTTGTAATAGGAAAACACGACTCGTTATCTACCAGTTGCACAAAGATGACAATGAGACTACTCAGAGTATGGTTACGTCATCGCAACTAGAATACCGTACTCTAGTCTACAATTAACAGTTACATTTCTGTGTTAAAAATAAATACAAACACTTTAGCTACTTATTGGAAGGGAACTTTTGGCGAAAAACATTGATGACACATTGGCACAGACTGTTATTTCCACATCTGTTTCAGTAACTCCGATAAAAAATACCTATGTTTACCGCAACGTGAAACATAAACATTAACAAAACATTAACATTAGAAGTGTGAATTGTTTTCGTACATGTTTTAATTTAAACTTGTGTATTTTTCAGATTCGACGGGCCCAGCTTCATTGGAGGCATCATTTTGACTCTTGGGCTCCTAGCCATCGGCTTCATGGGCTTCAAGTACTACAAGAACCAAACCGAAAGAAACTACCATACTCTCTAAATACTAAGTTCTCACTCTATTGTAAGTGCACCAAACTATGTATAAGATTTATAATTTTATAAATTGAATATTATTTTTCTCAAACTTTTCATCTTTCGAGTGCACATTAGTAAAATACAGGTATACTTATTATACATTTCCTTGTAAATTTTGTTTATTATCTCAATATTTTGACGTAACTTAGCTTTTCCGAATTTATAAATTAGGGTGATGTCTTACGGGCGTCCGTCTAGCCACTAAATCTACGCTGAACGAACGGTAGGGTATAATATACCTAGGTGGTTGGTCGTTAGGTATAATTTACGATTCGAATTATAAATTTGTTCTTATTAAATAGTGTAAGGTTTGTAACTTCTAGTAGATTGTTTGGCATTTATTTTTCTATGTTGCATGCTTCATTTTAAGTAAGCAAGTATGTATCTATAATTTTAATCCGCCAGGTTATGTTATGATTATGACATTCGTATATTATATGAAAATATGTGATTTGTACATTTGGAATATATAAATGTTTATATACTGAATTTTAAATGATTATAAAAATATATGAAACCCGAAATGAGCCACTAATTATCGTACTATTTCATCTTAGAGTGCAATTTAGTTGTAGTATTGATGTCCTTTTTCTTGTAACTGTGCCATGTTTCGGATTTCGATGTGGAACACTGCATTTGGTAAAAAATATACAGCTTCGTACACACTATATTTCAAAGATGTAGCTATTAAGTATATTTATTAATGTTAAGTGTTATTGTAAGGAAACGCAATGTGATGATGAAAATAAGGGTCTAAAGTAGTACCTATCTTGGTTTGGCATAATTAAGTTTACTGAATCTCTGTTGTACTCGACTAATTCAATTATCTCGTTCTCGTTACTAAACTCTTTAGAGAATCTCAAAATTCCACTAACGACTAACTATAGAAACTTTTTTGTGCCAAACCATAACAAATTCTGTATATTTTGTTTTTTATTTGTGATTTTAACACGCTATTTGTAAACTGGGGAAAGTTGATTCCATCCTAAAGTGCTCTTAAATCTGAACTATTTATGAATAGTTATTCGAAAGGTTTACACGCCACTATGAAAATTCTGTCTATCTTACTGCTACATTCATGTCTGTCAATGGTTATGTTGAATAAATAAAGGTATACATAAATATGAATTTTATTCATTCTAATACACTTAAATTGTACTTAAAACATTTTACGAAACTATGACTAATCATGTGCCTACAAATTCTGTGAGATCTAAACTCATTGTTTGCATTCTAAAGTGACCGGTCATCCATACATTTTTGGCTTTGGCTTCTACACACAGACATGCCTCCCAATCCCAATTCATATACCTACATAATAATTGATATTAGGTATTGACCTAGACTTCTCCACTTATGACCAGTCTTGTTATGGTATTGAGTTCCGTACATTTAATATTTACATCAATAATAACAAATTTGTATTGAAATATCGTTATATTTTTCAATAATAATACTTATCACAATTCAAGGCACATTTTTATTGTATTGTTAATAAATAGCTATTGCTGCATTAGGTACAAAAAATTGGGTTCTACAAATAATTAAGATTTTATTGCATTTAGTTGGACAATACGTACAATTTGCAAACATAAAGCATACTAAGAAACCTTGTTACATCTTTTCACATAGCAAATAAATAAAAAGAAATGTAACTATCATTATCGTATCGTCATCAATTTTAATAAACTTATTCGATACTTAGATCATGATTTAATTATCAAGCTAACTTTAAAATTACAAATACTTTTACAATAACAAAAAGATTCAGTACATGATTGCACGGTTGGCGCGGTGGCTGGGCAACTGGCTGCCGCGCAACGTGTCGCGGGTTCGATTCCCGCACGGAACAACTCTTTGTGTGATCCACAGATTATTGTTCCGGGTCTGGGTGTCATGTGTATTTGAACTTGTATGTGCACAGGAGAAAATCCTAGTGTGGGCCAACGTTTCATAAAAAAGAAAAAACAAAAGAAAATTCACACAATCGCATTTTACGATCTATCTACTTATTTATATAAAGATCTTAAATTTTCAAGATATAACAAAATATGTGTAGGTAATTCTGTAAATACAACACTATATAAAATCTAAAATTCTCCTGAACGAATTTTCATAGCAATATTTTACCGAACACCTGTACATTATTTAGCAAATTGTTTAATATAAACCTTTGTTAAGACTTCCAGCGCTGCATAGCATAAATCCAAAACACGTAGGAAAAATATAAACTGACAAACGTTTTCCGATTACTTCATTTCACCTTTTCCAGTAGGTATTTCAATAGTCTAGTACAAGTTACAGGCACTTCAATATCAAGCCCAGATTTCAATTCGCATCGCTCCATGTATGTACACAAAACACTACCTATTTTGGATTTAAAGTTGAAAATAAATGATAAACGGATTTACTTAAAGCAGGTCCGATATTGCGGGTTTGATCGCCATATTTTAAGCTGGCCAGAAGTATCTCTCCTTCCTGTTGATCACATTTATAGTAAGCAACAATTAACGAATGTGGTGTAGGATATCTATTTGTTATCGCCAAGGCTTTTTCTACCGAAACTCCTTTTAATTGCAGAAGTAATTTGATGAAAGTGTCCTTGACTGTAAGTGGCTTGGTCTTAGCTGATGATTTGTTAAAATATTCAAATGTCATCAGTTTTACAGCTTGAGGAATTATAAATTTCATGTCATCAGAATCATCGCATTCTTCGCCGCCATTTCGTAGTGTCATTTTCTGAAATGGACAACATAAAATATTACTGACAGTTCATATAAAAATTAAATTGATTGCTGACTGTTGATGAAGCGAAAGAAGTATGTAGGAATCGTCGTAGTTAGCGTTCCATAGTCTCTGCCTACCCCCATGGGAAACAGGTGTGAAGTTGTATGTATGTATGAAATCTATATAAATAAATTTCCATTCGTTATTCTCGCTAATACTTGAAAACGGCTGAATTGATATTGTTAGGATGTTTGCCGGATCAGCTAGTTAAAAATAATAATGTTTTGATGAGTGGTTGCAAGACTTGTAAGTGCGACTACCGAGTGAAGGGTCTTGGATTCAATTCCTGAGGCGGAATTTCTTAAGTTTATTGGTTATTTTTGATTTAATAACTCAAAACATAACTGGATTAATTAACTGGTGAAAAGTATGTATATGTGTTACATATTAGCGTCCGGGATTAACAGGCGTGATGCCACATTAAAATAATAAATTTATTAAATAGTTACCCCATATCGTATTGTCAATCTTTTGGTCATCATAGCCAGAAAACGGACTGATTGATTGAGAGAATTAGTAGAACGAACTTTAAAACCGTCCTGGACTCTTGTATTAGTCAAGGCTTGTAACAGACTTGGTAAAGGCAGCCCCAATCCTTTATTTTTGTCATATTTTTCTACTAAATAAATAACATTTTTAAGTCCGCATCTACGAAGTCTAAATTTTTGTTCATGGAATCTCCCATCTTTAATACTGGCAGCGAGATCATCCATTCTCTTTCTCTCTACTACATAAGGTAAAACCAGTTCTTGTTCAGGGTGTTTCTTATGTTTGGCTATCCAAGTAAAGTCTCCAACTTTCAAACTTCTATAGTCATGTTTCAAGTCTGGATACTTATTGAATTCCATTATTGTTGGATCATTTCTTTTCTTAAGTCTGTAAAAGTAATATATTATTATATTAAACTGTCAAACACCAAGCGGTCACCGGTGACCACAACCTATTGTTCTATAATTGTGTCTATAATACCGGTCCTCAACGAGTTAATTTATGTTAATAAGTTACTTTGATGGAGAAGGATTACAGTAAAGTTATTTAAACTGTCAAACACCGCGAGGACACCGGTGACCGCAACCTATTGTTCTTTAATTGTGTCTATAATGATGGTACTCAACAAGTTAAGCCATTTTAAATGTACTTCTTACTTAGATTGTTTTTAGAAAATACTCACCCTCCAGTTTCATTTTTATCAATTAGTAATATTATATCAAATTCACCAGGTTTCATATCTATAAAACTCTGTTGTTGTGATGTGGACGAACCTTGTTTAGGAGCAGTATTGGAGATTGGGTTACTTGTATGACTCTTACTGCTACTTGTTGAAGGTATATCATTAAAAATCATATCATTTACAGTGGGAATATTTGTACTAGCATCTAATAACTCTGTAGCTAATCTTTCACCTTCTGAAGTCAATGAGTATTCAGCATTCTTTTTCCTAGTTTTAGTAACCAAACCTTTTGTCAAAAGTCTGCTCATGTTAGACCAGGCTGTATACATTGACCCAGCTTTAGGTCTTACAAATGACTCCTCACAGTGAATTTGAGCTTTCTCAATCAAAAGTTCTTTAGTCATTGTACAATTTGGGTTTAGTTTACTCTGTTCAAGTAATGTGACTAAAATAGCATAACCACCTGATCTATAAGCAGGTTTATATGTACTGGCTATACCTCTCTTCTTTTTATTACCACTGGATAAAGGACCAGAATCACTTGATACATTCTCTGATATCTCACTGTCTGTTTTTGACGTACGTGAAGATGGATTTATCTCTAGTGGTCCAGAAATGCCAAGATTTGGGAAACTTTCTGAGAGAGGACTATTACTGATACTTCTGGTAACATGCTGACTAGATGGGATTGGAGATATTGTTGTAGACCTGGCAGAGTGGCTTGGTTCTCCACGACCTCTGTTCTCACAATTATTAGACAAGGCTTTCTCATTAAAAGAAGTTAAACATTTGTCAAGATATAAACATAGTTTTTTGTTAAATCCTTTGAGTATTATACACTCAGATGCCGTCTTCAGTGGTAGCGGATATTTTGCTAGAGATTCTGCTGCCTCTTTGAGCATTGGTTCAAAGTGGCTTTTCTTTGCTTTCGCTTCAGCACACAAATGTAATAACCAGTCTTCAAAACGAGCATTAGGTCTTACCCTTTTACAAGATACTTTTTTATTCATCGCTATAGCGTTGAGTGGCATATTGAAACTATAATAAATAACTAATTACCAATACTCAGAACTCCAAATAATGATTATTAGTTTAGAAAATTCTTGTCTTCATTTAAAAATCATAATATTTACAAGTTAATAGGCCGAGGCCCAATGAATGAACAATATGAATGAATGATCATAGATTATACACTATAACTGGAATGAATGATTTACGTATGCACATGACATTTGCCTGACGTGTTGTGACAACATCTTTGAAACTGAATCCTGCGATGTTTTAACGTAGGCCAAAGAGTATTAATAAGTATAGGGGGCGTAGGCTATAGATGGCCTAGACGTAGGTGTACGCGTATGACATTTGGGACGAAAGGTTTTCGGGTAAATGATAACTAATGCCCCCGCTAAATTCCAAAATAAATTGTGTCGGTCCATGCGCTAAACTACCTGTATAGTGACAGAGCCGCAGAGAACCTGCAGGACCCAAGACTTTTATAAAAGGAAAAAAGAAGGACGCTGACGTTAATTTTTTTTCAATGCCCTTGGGTACAATATTGTCCCTAAGTGTCCCTAACATACACCACCGTTCATAAGTTTGGTAGGTATATACGGAAAACGAGCAGGCGGATCTCCTAATGGCCTGATCGTAAGCAATGGACGCCGCCCATGGACACCGGTAACACCAGACGTGTTACTACACTTGTAACACCGCGTTACGGGCCTTTTGGGGGTTAGAAATTTGAGGATTCGGGGATTAAGGATGGCAAGGCAATGTTTTTAAACGTTTTCCCACACTGGTATTTTTTTCTCTGCTGTAGGTTCGTTTACAAGTTACACAAGTTACATACAAGTTCACATACACATTAAATCCAGACCAGAAACATCAATCTATGGATCACACAAAGAGTTGTTCCGTGCGGGAATCGAACCCGCGACACGTTACACGGCAGCTAGCTGCCCAGCCACCACGCCAACCCTGCAGTCATTTGGGCTTCCGGCAACCTCCTCAACCTCATGCGCACGACGAAACACAACGTATTATTATTGTCATATACCTATTATCGTCATTGTCTAAGATAAAACAAAAACTAAAACAATAAAAGAATTAAAAATAATAAAAGCATTTCACACAAAATGACGCAGAAACTAACTTTAATCTCTTTTCAATACATCCCTATTGTTCCCTAATTATCTCTTTTGAGTATACATTTCTATTGTTCACTTTTTACTAGAATTGACCTAGGTACATTTTTCACACGGATAATGTAAAAAATACCACATTCCAAAAATTATTATTATTTATTTTACTAGCTGTTGCCCGCGACTTCGCCTGCGTAGAATAATTTACTTCTGGCTGAATTTATGCTTTTGATAGTCTTTATCAAGGGATATTCTACGGTAACGAATGTCGTCAGAATTGATTAAGTACCTAGTATAGGGCTCCTCCACCGTAGATGATAGCGTGATAATATGTAGCCTAAATATTGTTCGATAGATATAGATAGAAGATAGATAGATATAGATGTACAGATATAAATAAATAGATAGACAGATGAACTTGAATTCTTATTTTTTCTTTTAAAATCGTATATAATCGTAGTTTTTTTATAGTAAAGCTAGGTAATAGTATGGCTTACTCAAAAATAACATTAAAAATGCTTCAATGCATAACACGCTGTATTCTGTGTGAAATAACGATTCACAGCTGCTCCCCCGTAGATGATAGCGTGATAATATGTAGCCTATATGTGGACCCGACCTGTTAGTAATTTTCATGCAAAATTTGAAGTAAATCCATGCAGTACTCTTTGAGATCATCCCGGACATACATACAGACAAACAGACAAAAAATCCAAAAACATTTTTTTGCCTTCGGTATCGATTGCAGATCACGCCCCAAGTATTCTTCCCTATTATTGTCTTTATCTAAAATAAAACAAAAAAATAATATTAAAAGAATTTTACACAAAATAACGCAGAAACTAACTTTTATCTCTTTTCAGTACATCTCTATTGTTCCCTAATTATCTCTTTTGAGTATACATTTCTATTGTTCACTTTTTACTAGAATTGACCTAGGTACATTTTTCACACGGATAATGTAAAAAATACCACATTCCAAAAATTATTATTATTTATTTTACTAGCTGTTGCCCGCGACTTCGCCTGCGTAGAATAATTTACTTCTGGCTGAATTTATGCTTTTGATAGTCTTTATCAAGGGATATTCTACGGTAACGAATGTCGTCAGAATTGATTAAGTACCTAGTATAGGGCTCCTCCACCGTAGATGATAGCGTGATAATATGTAGCCTAAATATTGTTCGATAGATATAGATAGAAGATAGATAGATATAGATGTACAGATATAAATAAATAGATAGACAGATGAACTTGAATTCTTATTTTTTCTTTTAAAATCGTATATAATCGTAGTTTTTTTATAGTAAAGCTAGGTAATAGTATGGCTTACTCAAAAATAACATTAAAAATGCTTCAATGCATAACACGCTGTATTCTGTGTGAAATAACGATTCACAGCTGCTCCCCCGTAGATGATAGCGTGATAATATGTAGCCTATATGTGGACCCGACCTGTTAGTAATTTTCATGCAAAATTTGAAGTAAATCCATGCAGTACTCTTTGAGATCATCCCGGACATACATACAGACAAACAGACAAAAAATCCAAAAACATTTTTTTGCCTTCGGTATCGATTGCAGATCACGCCCCAAGTATTCTTAAAAATATTCAATATTCAATGTACAATTTTGACTTTTCTACGATTTTATTATATGTATAGAAATAAAATAGATTTTTCGCCATGGTCGTACCATGGTCGTCGCATACATAGAAACAGACAGACGGCGGATAGCGACTTTGTTTTATACTATGTAGTGATACTTATAGCCTTCTTCAATAAATGGACTACAAAACATTTAAAATAATTATCCAATTCGGACTCGTAGTTACAAAGATTAGCGCGTTCAATCAAACAAACAAACTGTTCATCTTTATATAATAGTATAAGTATAAAAGATTAATATAATATATATTGGGTATAATCATATTTTAATAGGTTGCTGATAGAAAAAAAGTAAAAAAAAAACATATTTAAGCGAATGGCGAGTACATATGTCTCTTATGGTCTTTATTTTCTTGTTTTTAACAAACTGTGAAGAAATCTTGCATGTGTTATTTTTTAGGGAGGTACTTAAGCGGTTCTTTTTGTAAAGTATGAAATATAATTTGTGATATAGGTATATATATCATGTACTTAATAATAATAACTAGCTGTGTCCGTGACTTTGTCTGTGTTAAATAGTTATGCAAGGTTCCTATTCCTATCTCGTAGGTGATGGCGTGTAGGTAGCATATAAGTTGACCCCACCTGATAGTAATATTAATGCAAAATTTGAAGTAAATCGAGTTTAGCCCGGACATACATACAGATAAACAGACAAAAATTCTAAAAACCATATTTTTCGATTCGTTTTCGATGTCAAATGCAGATTAGGCCCCAAGCATTTTTTAAATGAAATAGAAGTACAGTTTTCACTTTCCTGCGATTTTATTCATGTATTAATTATTATTTAGATATAGATAGGTGTTGAATACACGCACTCGCGCGCGCCAACTTATTGCTAAGATTGTGGTTTATGAAAAAAACCACTGCTTCAATTTAAAATTGCAAATTTATTTGTAGTTTTTATTATTAATTTTACCTTCCTTCCTATCTAAGGAATATTATACAATTCCAATACAATACGAAAATTAGTAAGTAAAATAAAACACACAGTAAAGAGTGGGGGCAAACGCTAACGCACCTCACTACCTGCTCTACTCAACTCAACCCGTTTTGTCATTCGATTCGATCCGTCATTCGCATTCGCTCGCTCGGCCGTAGCGGTGGTCTGTTAGCGTCGCGTATTTTGTGAAATTTTATAAAATATAGATTTAATATTTGGTGATGTCGTAGTGTAGTGTGTGTAAAATAAACAGTAAAAATGTCGCTTGAAATCCCGTTAATGAGCACGGACGAGGTGATTGTTTAGTGTTAATGTGAAATGTTTTAACTTATAATTTAGTGTAGCTAGTGTCAGTGTCGTAATACATTATTTTTGTTTATCTAGGTGATTGAGTTAGATCCGGAGCAATTACCTTCTGGAGATGAAGTGCTTAGTATACTGCAACAGGAGAGATCGCAACTCAACGTCTGGATCAATGTTGGAGTAAGTAAACTAACCTCAAAATTTGTTTACGCTAGACACGTAGCGCTTCCAAGCGCGTAATTTGGCAATAATTTTGTTAGAACATTGATTTTTAAGAATTCATTTGAAAGGACAATATGTTTTCTGTTATGCATGCCTTAGGAAAGCATGTTCTTGTCTATTTTCATGGCAAAAACTACTGATAGTATGTTTTGTCAATCATAATTTTATAATGAGTCAAATATGAATATAGATTTGTGGTTTTTCTAGTCTAAAATCTTTAATTATAATTGTTTTTATCCATAATTCTTAAAATAACAATCATATCTAACTGCTGTTAGATATTCTTTCCACAAAAAGAACCTTTCTATCATTACTGTTTCATCTGTGTGAATATGCTTGTCAATTCACATACATTTGCATAATACCTTAGTAAAACCTATCCAAGTTCTATACTTTGAATCTAAAATCTATACATGTTAAAGTTCAATGTTCTACAAGTTATATTTTCTGGTGTATTACTTAAACTCAATCTGCAGTTGTTTGTGTTCAGGATCATGATCCAACAGGTTGTTGAAACATGACTATAACACAAAATCTAATGAGATGTTCTATTTTTCATCACATGTTGTATACAATTTCAGAATTAAAACTAAACTATGCTATGCCCCCATCTAAATGAACTCAAAAAAAAAAAAAAATATTTGTGCTCAGTGGTCTAGCAGACCAAATAGCTTTTAATTATCTTTAGTGTAAATTGTAATTTAGGAAATCTCTTATTTGAACTATTGTTATTTAAAGAGTACAAAATCAGACACAAAATTATTTCTATCACAACTAGGATCAGAAAATTATGTATTCTTCTTATTATATTCAAGACTTATAATTGTTCTTATAGCTTTTTAAATAGGGTTTATATCTTCTGATAATTAGTCTAATCTCAATGAAATGTACTGGGAATTTATTATTTTCAGAACATTTTGTTACTAATTTTAAAACCAAACTTGTATGCCAATAAATACCATGCT